GCGTGAGATTATTGAGAGTGGTCAGTGTGTGTCTGGGGCTGTGGAGTGTGGTCAGTGCTCATGCATCCGTACCTGTGACAGTGCCCACAGTGTCCATCTCATCCTTAGTCCACAGGCTGGGGTCTCCGTAGGCCTCCACAGCCTTTTCCTGCAGGGCCAGCAGCACCTCCGCGGGGCACTCGAGCTGGCCGATTTCACGAGCCGCGGCACTGCGAGAGCAGCAGACACACGGGCGGTCAGTCCCTGCAGCCGCTGCCTCACTCCTCCAGCTTGTGCCTGGCCTGATCTCCAGCTGTGTGCAGCAACCCACTTAACGCATGATCAGTGTTAATTAAGAAGGCAGCGTCCGGGCAGCACATGTAGGGCTACAGGTGACTTTCATTACGTTAATAATTGATTGAAGAACCGCATCTCTGTGGAGCCCTATTTTCTGTGGCTGCACAACCAGGCAAGACAGTTGGCCTCTTCTGAATCCCTGCAGTGACACCCCCAGGCTGTTTTGTTAATTAATTGGTAGTCTTAAGTTTTTAAGCTTAAGCTTCTTCAGTTTGTCTGCTGCTCAGCTACGACCCACTGCAGTAAAATAAACAGAAATCCATCCCCTCATGAATCCATTTTGTGCTTAGTTACAGAATGGTCACGGTGGTTTTGTCATTCATACAACACTAAGCAGGGCTGCCATTTCGGGCCAAGCTTCTCTGTATGTTAGAGTGGTGAAACTGTAGAGGTTGTCTTTGGCTGGACAAGTGATTGACCTGTCCTACTCAGTGGACAGGTAATTGACCTGGTCTCAGCGGGTCTCCTCAGTGGACAGGTGATTGACCTGGTCTCACCTGGTCTCCTGTGGACAGGTGGTTGACCTGGTCGCACCTGATGTCCTCAGTGGACAGGTGATTGACCTGGTCTCACCTGGTGTCCTCAGTGGACAGGTTTGACCTGGTCTGCTGTGGACAGGTGATTGACCTGGTCTCACCTGGTCTCCTGTGGACAGGTGATTGACCTGGTCTCACCTGGTGTCCTCAGTGAACAGGTGATTGACCTGGTCTCACCTGGTCTCCTTAGTAGACAACTGTGTGACCTGATGAGATTTGTACTGCTCAGTGAAGAGCTGTCTGACCTGAACTCACCTGTATTCCTCAGCGGACAGCTGTTTGACCTGGTCTGCAGTGAAAGCGCACAGGAAGTATTTGAGACCTATCAGTTGTCTGCTGGTTAAGGTGTTGACAGGGTTGTCTTTGAGAAAGATGGCCAAGATCTCTTTTGCCACTCTTAGCTGCAAAGAGAAATAAATGAATCCGTAAATCCAAGGATAAAAGACAGTTGCATCTTCAGGGAACTGATCTCACACATGTGTTTCACTTTGATTCATTTTTGTGGGATGATCAGAGTCCCAGGTTTTGTTCCATCACCCATTATCATTCATAATCAGCAGCATGCTAATTAGATGAAGCTTCACTGTGGGGTACCCTATAGGAAATAAAAGCAGGATCTAGTGCAATAAGGTGACACAGTTACATGAACTGTATTACAGGTATAGAAATCTGTGCGCCAGACCAAAAGACTCACGTTGTTCAGCCAGTCCCTGTACTGCCCGATGGAGGACAGGGTGTCGATGGAGATCATCGTGATGGACTGGCTGACGTCGTTCGAGGTGAAGGCCAGGGTGATTCTCTTCAGGGCGGCGATGTCCTCGTCAGCCGGCTCGGGGAAGGCCTGGACACAGGCAGGAGGTTACAGCGGCAGCGGCAGCTATCCGCAAGGGGACACAGCGCGCCCGCGGCCCCGCAGGGCTCTAGAGACGTAGCTTTTAACTCACACCTTTCCTGACCGCCCCGCGAAGATGCGCAGGCCTCCTGCAGCACCTGCTGCTGATGTGTGTGTGTGTGTTTGTGTGTGTGTGTGTAATCAGACCATTGATTGGCTGTGAGGTTATACAATTGGAATGGGCCGGGCTGTACCTGCTGCACCTCCCGGGTGATTGAATGGTTCAGCAGGTACCGTCCATCAGGTACCACCTGGCCCACCCGCTGTCAATCCATGTGCAGCATTCACCACCCTCCCCCATTCCACGGTCTGATCAAAAACAGTTTGGGTGCAGCGGCTCCTAGCAGGAAACGGCCAAAACAGAGAGCCACTGCTCTCTCGCTCCTGGCCCACCTGCCCTGTGAATGGCTGGAAAGCAGCACGTACGTCCCAGGCGTTCGGGAGAGAACGGAGCCCAGGGCTCAGGGTCTTACCTTCAGAGCCACGGTCTTCAGGGCAGCCAGCTGCAGGGGGCTGAAGCCGGGCACCGACGCCAGCACCTCCAGGGAGGCCTGGAAGGTGTTGGTGTCCAGGCACTCCAGCTGGGCGGGAGTTAAGATGCTGTTTCCGTTCCCTATCGCCTTGATCTGCAGCGTGGTAGGGACCTTGGAGCAGATATCTGTGCAACACAAGCTGGCGTGAGAACTCACCCTATTTTACCTGCTTTCCCTCCCTTACGGGCGTAACTGTTGCCGCTCTCGTTCCACACTGTGCTGCAGGGAGATTTGTCTTTGTTTCTGATGCCTTCCTGGGCCCACCGCCCACGTGAAGAGTTACAGGGTAGATTAGTGAGGCGTTTTCGCAGTTTTACCACATTCAGATGGCGCATTAACCCCTACACTTGCTGTTGTCTCCTGAAGTTTGCTCTTTCCTTAACATCCAGCCTGTCTGTAGCTGGGAGACGGGCAGACAGAGAGTTAAATACCCCGACTTTTGAAAAGAGCTGGCTGTAAACAGCATGGCGGCAGTGCCGGTCTTCCCATTGTGCCCACAGTGCCTAGGGCCTACGAAATGTTAAGGGCCTACGAAGGAGGGAAACACTAGTGACTAACGAAGAAACGAGCTGAAACAACAGGCTTGCGATCGACTCCAAGTCACTGATCACACGCTGTCTAGCAGCTGTTCTAGACACCAGAAGGATCAAAGTGATGGTCACTCGACTCGCTCCAGCAATCACGGGGTTTAGCATTGGAAGAATTTAAAGTGCATCATGTCAATTGACGTCATTCAATTGGCGTTTACCCCTCTTGTTGCACATTTCGGAATTAAAGTGTTTAGGGCCTATGGACACCAAAATCCGGCCCTGGGTGGCGGGACTACGAGGCAGGAGAATTCATTTAAAAAAACGGCCTGGTGGTTCTTCCAAGAACAACAGAGCCCGGGCCCTGGGCCAGCTGCCCTGCCTGCCTGCACATGTGGGCACGGCTGGCAAAGCTGGGACTGCGCCCAGGGAGGAGGAAATGGCTGTACACTGGGATGCCAGGGCAGAAACCCTCCTCCTTCGGGCTGTGCTGCCCCCCCTGCTTGAGCGCCAGTTCTCCCCCCCCCCCGAGACCGCCCCGCCGGACGGTACCTCTCTTGAACATGGTGTCCACGGCCGCCAGACGCAGGACCATCTTGGCGTAGAGCTGGCTCACGCTGCTGGAGTCGTACGCGAAGTGGAGCTTCTCCGGCACGAAGCCGCCCGGCGCCCGTCTCTGGGGCAGCAGGAGGGCCAGGCCTTCCTTCAGCTCCACCTGTGGGGACGGGCAGAGCAGAGCCCAGCGGGCAGCTGGCGGAGGATGTTCACACACGTGGACTAAAAGTCACTTTTTAACTGTTCACGCGTCTCCCTGTCACGCAGAACGCACAAGGAAGGATTGTTAGGGGTTGACGGTGAGTCATGCGATCTTTAAAAGACTCACGGAGGTGAGTCTTAAACGCCATTTCACAGCGCAGGAACGGGTCTGCGGGGTGTATGCGGCCTTGAACACTCTGTCAAGTTGCCAGTTTCCGATTGTGCTAACGTGTATTAAAGTGACAACTAATTTGTTCTAAATTGTTAGCCAGCAGCCATGTCACCCTGCAGCTCCCAGCTGGCAGCCCCCATGGAGCTCAGCAGGTGTGAGCCTGGCCAGTACCTGGATGGGAGACTCCTGGGAAAGCTGAGGCTGCTGCTGGAAGAGGTGTTAGTGGGGCCAGCAGGGGGGGCTCACCCTGCGGTCTGTGTGGGTCCTAATGCCCCAGTATAGTGACAGGCAGACTATCACAGGCCCATGGGATATACATTTTCAGGGGGCCCCTCCCCCTCAACACACATCATGAATGCCCTACATGTCATTACATTTAAAGTTTAGATCTCTGAACTGGCTTCATCACTCTGCTCTCCTCCCCACTGAGAGCTGGTGTGTGGGGAGAGTGCTGGACCATCATCCTGGTGGGGGTGGAGGGGATCCCCATGACCTGTAAAGAGCAGGAGTGTGTAGAAAACCATGTACTGTAAGTCTAAGGAATTAATATACAGGTACTGTATATTCTTGAGGCACACCAAACCAAAGAAAAAGCACAAATGACGAGTGTGTGAGTTGAGAACTGCCTATACTGCCTACTGACCTGCGGCTGTGTTGTGGGGTGTGTGTGATTCACTGATACAGAATGCCTCTGCCGTGCTCTGGCACTGATCACATGTTAGCGCACCTGGGCCAATGCTGTGTAGGGCTCAGAGAATCTGACCCAATGTGAGTCATAATGAAGGAAAATGAACTTTTCCCTTTAACGTATTTGACCATTTGTCAGCACATCAGTTAGACGGCGAACATAATAAACCAGGCTGAGCTCTGAAGGGGAGCGGTTTTCTGCGGCGTCTGGTGCGGTTTTCCTGCCCTGCTCTGCTGCACAGCGGCAGCGCTGGCTCACACTTACCCCGTCCCGCGCAGAGCTGGAGAGCGGTAGAACTCACCGACACAGGGAGCTTGTACAGGAACCTCAGGTCAAAGAGCATGACCAGGGACCGCAGCTGCATCAGCGTGGCCGCGCGCCAGTGGGGAACGTCTCTGCAGAAACGGCAGAGGGTTAGGGCATTCCTGTGTGACCACGCAGAGGCCAAAACCCGGGGCAGCAGCAGGGAATTCCCAGACTGACGTGCAACGCTACTGGACTGACCTGCCGCAGAAAAGCTTTTAATTAAGCTCATGCTCTTAAAAAGTGGAAACATGAACACTTTTTTGTGATTTGTTTTTTTTATGATGTGATTTCTTTCTGGTTATGCTTCACAGGAGATGGAGCGGCTATATAAGAGCTTCCCAGAATGCTGTTCTTCAGCAGTGCCCATTGGGAGTGACCGGAGCGACAGAGCTCTCATCCTTTTATTTCCCCTCATGCTGGGTTTATCTGTTCAGAAAAGGGACTGGGGATGGCCTTTTGAATGCGGTGGGCCCCCCCAAGAGCTCGTACCCGTAGACGGCAGTGATCTTCTCCAGCAGGGCGGTTTTCACGCTGGGCTCAGGCTCGCCACAGTCGCTCAGCTGGTCCGCGGCCTCCCTGAACTGGGCTGCGCTCAGGGCGCCGATGTCCTCCTGGCCCAGGAAGCACGCGGCCCCGCCCAGGCTGTTGATCTGCTGCAGGCTCAGCCCGCTCGCGTTCGTGGCGTTCTGAAACAGACAAACCCCTCATGGAGCAACCAAGACCAGCCGCAGCCTTCCCTGAAGGATCGGGGAAACGATCCGGCCTCCGCTCCAGTCCCGGATTCAAAAAACCGAGTCTGCCGGAGCCATGGCGTCTGTGCACACAGAGGAGTTTCGCTCTGTGTGTTCTCCTGATAGACTGAGTTCTGAACTGGCCGTCGGAGAGGACGCCCGGTCTGGGACTCACGTAGCAGGCCATGATGTAGCTGAGGATCTCTGCCCGTCTGGGGGAGTTCCTGGTGAGGAGGGCAGGGCTGGCTCTGGCCAGCAGGTCAACTACGGAAGAGCAGAGCAGTCTGGGGATGTTGTTCACCGTGGCCGCAAAAGATCTGCCAAAAAAACGAAACGAAGCGCTGTAGCGGAGGCACCTCCCTGCAAACAGAAATCCGTCTTGATTTCCGCGGCTTTGTCGCTCGTATACATTGGACTGCGGAGGTGAACTAGGAAACTGTCGCGCCGAGCAGCGCGTCTGTGGCACTCACTGCGCGTAGACCAGAAAGCTCGGGGGGGTGTTCTTCAGCTTCGCCTCTGTCATGTTGTCCGGGGTTTTGAGCTTCCTGTAGTAAGAGGCGCTGGCGCAGCGCACCTGCGGGCGAGACGCACATACAGTACAGTCAGCCCAGGCTGACGGCACTAGAATCTCCTGTGCAGACTGGGACAGCGGTTCTAAAATTGGGATCTCCTCGTACTTGCAGCTACAGGCTTTGCTAAATGGAAAAAAATAATTTACATTAAGGTTCACTTCTACGGTGATAACTACTGTATGGGTCTCCTACCTCTTTATCAACAGGGTAAAAGCCCACCTGAGTTAGGTGAGTCTTAAATGGGTCTCTTAAAGGTCTTAAAGGAGTTACGTTTTTTTCTCAGCAGTGAGCCCTGTGTGGTTTGAAAAGACAATACCCGCTGGGCTGAAGTTAAGAAAGCCCCCTTTCACTGTCCAAAAGCAAAATTCTGAATAAATCTTTGCTTGTCCCATGCGTCTTTGCAGATGGGGTTAGTCTAAGTGTGGAGCTGTGACGGTACGGGAGGTGTTTAGGGTACTGTGATGCTGTGGCATGCTCGTTCCCTCGTCGCCCACTTTGGCACACCTGGTCCCGGGACAGGAACGGGCTGGCGGACACAGCCTCCAGCTGCGACTTGGTCATGCTCTGGATCTGGGTGCAGGTGAGGCCTCTGACAGCGTGCAGCAGTGCCCTTTGGGACAGAATGAGTTGTGGTCGGTGTCTTTCTTTAGGCATATATCAGTGGCGATAGTTCAAGTTTATTGTCATTATACTCATACGCAGGTATATGCTATAATGAAATGCTATTTAGCTAGCTCTCAGACGGTAAGTAGTACAAAACACAACAATACAATTGTATAAGAAAAGAAAGACGGAGGCACTGGGAATGTGCAAAATAACAACAGATAATGTGCAAAACAACAACAGTTGTGCAAATTCATACGTCAACAGAATGAAATAAAGGATGGAAAATGATGGGGAGTGAGCTTCTTGACATGTGAGGTAGAGGTAGATTTCAATGTGTGTTTGAGTTTTGATACAGAGAGGAGAGGCTGGGAGTTTAATAGTTTGATAGTTCAAGTAGGGAGCTGCGTCAGCATGCGCAGGCTGCAGAGGAACAAGCGTAAGGTTTATTCCATGCTGAGAAGAGAAGAAAGGAAACACAGTGTAGTGGTTTCAGCATGGAATAAACCTTTACTTGTTCCTTATTAGTAGTGATCATCATCATCATCATCACTACAGAAGAAGAAAGCTCAGTCTTGACAAGTGAGATCTGATTGACAAAAGAAAGATATTCTTGAACTTACCTGAAGTCATTTGTAGTCTTCAGGGAAGAGAAAACCTTCTCCATGACCACGATAGCCTGTATGTGAAAATAACCAGCGAAATGTCTCAAAGCTGTATTTTTTTCCCTGTTATTCCACACTTCAGTTTAGTACGTTTGCCTTTGAGAAAGCAGAATTTAACGTGGGTACAGTCTGAAAATGGGCAGTGAATTGGATCCTTATTTCATTTGACCTGCAGTGCAGTGCAGCTGATGGGTTTATCCCTGTCGAACCCGATTCCTACCCGAAACCGTAGCGAGCAGACTACCTCATGTCTTAACACTTTGCCCTGCCAGGGAGACCTGGGGACGTCAGTGATGTTCTCCTTTCTACCTGTGCTTTGTTCCAGGGAAATGCGTTGGTCCAGTTGGAGCTGAAATTCCCCAGAGCCCTGAGGTCCGTGCAGGGCACTACGGAGATCAGCGAGGGCGGGATGAAGGACAGAGCTTCACTGAGGTTGGTGCTTTTCAAGATCTGCAAAACAGAGAGCCAGCACACGTCCCTCACACGCCGCCCGCTGCCTGTGCCTAGTGCGCTGCAACACTTCACTCAGGTCCGGGCATTAAGGTTTGGGGAGACCAGACATTTGACTTGACGTGAAGTCTGAAGCGCTGCTGGAAGATGCCAGACATCAGCAGCAGAATGGGTCTGCAGGAGCAGAATCTGGGGCATCGGTGAAGGTAAATGCATTCGCACAGCAGGGAAGTGTGTATCTGAAAAACACGCTTTTTGTCTGTTCCTGGAGGGTAAGGGCTTCAGCCTTAATGATAATAATAATATTAATTAATAATTATATCACGCTTTTCTGCACACTCCACTTGAAGCGCTTTACTTGAAGCCATGATTGGTAAAGACCAGGGGGGAATTTGGGCAGAACACTGGGGTAACACCCCTACTCTTTTCAGGAAATACCCTGGAATATTTAATGACCACAAAGAGTCAGGACCTCAGTTTTACGTCTCATCTGCAGGACGGCGCCTGTTTACAGTGTAGTGTCCCTGTCAGTATACTGCGGCATCAGGACCCACACAGACTGCAGGGTGAGCGCCCCCTACTGGCCCCACTAACACCTCTTCCAGCAGCAGCCTCAGCTTTCCCAGGAGTCTCCCATCCAGGTACTGGCCAGGCTCACACCTGCTGAGCTCCAGGGGGGCTGCCAGCTGGGAGCTGCAGGGTGGTATACAGTAGCTGCTGGCTCTTGTCTTTGGATGGACCACTACAGATGGCGTTAGAGAGATCAGCAGCCCCCAGTTAGAAGCCGGGCAGAGCTTGGCTTGTTTGTCGACTCACGGAGAGGAGAATGGCCTTCTTCTGCACCGGCTCCATGCCCTCGATGGAGCGCGCGAAGCAGGGGCTCTGAAACGCCTTGCGAAACTCAGACGCGTTGATCCCCATCAGGGTGTCCGAACTGAGGTGGCTGGCGAGGAGGCCCAGTGATCCCAGGTTTCCCTCTTGGATCTGCAGAGCAAACACACCACACCAGACGCACCCAGACACGGCGCGGTGAGAAAACAGACAGCCGCCGCGCGTTGGCGTCCGACAGACCAAGTGGGGGGACAGAGGAGCTGCGTTTCCCTGCAAGGGGTTGTGGGAGTTGTGGGACCAAGCTGCGCAGGCATGAAATGGAAGTTGCTTTACTGGCTCTCTTTAAGGATGGGATGAGCTACTATTAACCAAACACATAAGACAAAACAGCTGCCTCTCTTTGTGACCTTTCTGATGTTCCTTTATACCAGTGGTTCCCAGTTGTGGTGACCCACATACCTGAGCCCTCAGTTGCCCCAATCAAACCCTTCACCAACTTAATAATAATAATAATAATAATAATAATAATAATAATAATAATATGAATATGAACTGTTGGTTCCCAGCTCTCTGGGAATTTTATTTAGTAAGTAAAGTGAAATACCAAACTTGTGACTTGAAAAATACGAACATCCAAATGAAGCAGCTTCTCAGATCAATTGATGGGGAACTGCCGTCCCAATTTCTCAAACCGGCTACTAAAACTCGGTAGCAAACTAGATACATTAACAGTGTCGAAAATTGTGACCAATTTCGAATTAAGGACAAAGTCGTGAACTTTGGGAAAGCACTGGAAGTCGCCGTGTTGTCGCAAACCCCTGGTCTCACCACGAGAGCGAGAGTTTGTGAGAACTGTGTCGTGAAGCGGCCCTTCCTGCTCACCAGTTCCCACACTGACTGATGTACTGGGATGGACGAGAGTGAATAAGTACAGGTTGCGCCGCAGACATTTCACAGCAGGAATGTTCCAACATGATCTGTATGCAGAGTTAATGAGTAAGTGGTATTGGTCGGCGAGACTGTCTCCAAATCGAAAGTAATATTTAAAAGAGATGGATTCACTAGCCTGCTTGTTAACAGTGTCGCTGGACTGCTTCACCTCACCAGAAGTTTTGTTACCTCGTTCTGATTATGGCGCTGTGAATACCTGGAAATTTCTTCTATCTTGTGATGTAATTTGGAGGTTTTACAACTTTTAACAGTGTACATTTTACTTTTCTTGTGGTTTAAAATGCCCTCATCAGTGCTGATTGTTTCTAACCTCGAAATGTAAAAACAGCGTTGCAGGTCCAGTTCTCTAATGAAGGTGGGCTGGAAGGAAAGCCAGCAGGTGTGGGGGTCGCCAATCCAGGATTGGGAACCCCTGCTTTATACCCTGCAGAGTGGATGAGGGAACACGGCACCAGGTGAGATACGTCCTTGTACTCACAATTCCCTCGCTGACGGAGGAAAGGAGAGCTTCCTTCTGGGACCCGGACAAGTCGGCGTTCTGTGCGAATGTGTCCAGGGCTCCTTTGACGGCGCTGGCATTCAGGGAGGTCAGCTGGGCCTCGGACAGGCCCACCACCGCGGCCGACAGCCTGCTGAGCTGCGTGGCGTTGTAGCCGGCCACGTTCACCTTGCTCAGCACGTCCTCGTAGATCTGCACGAGAACACTCTCGCTCTCAGAGCGCAGAAACCGCCAGAGACAGCCCTTGCAGCCGGTTTTACCCAGACTGCGACATTCTTTACCATGGTTTTCCCCACTTATGGTTTTTCACCATAATTCCCTTCATAGATGACCGCGATTTCACTGTGATGTTACCCTGGTGTACCGCAACACCCTTGCATACCACCCTGTCAGTGGCGCCTCTTAGCTGTGATGTCAAGCCAGCCCGGAGGACACTGGGAAATCTCCTTTGGTAAGAGGGTGGGTGTTTAACTGGATGATGGGGCCCAATGGGAAGATAACACTGATCCTGTGCAGCTGCAGCAGCAGGCAGACGTGCTAGAGCACTGTGGATAGGAAAAGAGCCCTCTGTCACTTGCAGGGCCAGGAGCTCTTTGACACTTACATGCCTGACATTGCTCCTACAGTTATTCAGCAGCTTGAACAGGGCGTCCATGGCCGGGGCCTGCAGGGGGCTGCTGTTCTCAGGGTAGAAACAGGCCAGCTGACCCAGCCTGGAATATAAATCAATTACAAAGTTGAGTTGGACAAAAAAAAATGCAGGAAGCCTTTAAGGGAGCCAATCGCGATCAACAGGCCGTGCACACAGACTGCCTGCTCACCTGCTGATGTTGCCCGGTGAGGTGAAGTCACACCGGCAGGCGTTCCTGAGCCCGGCGTACAGGACGTCCGCCTGAGCCTGCTTCAGATCGTAGAAGAAGCTGAAGTGGTTGTCGGCGCTGCTGAAGACGTCGTACAGCTGTTGGAAAGCCCAGAGCCGGTTCAAGACCCATTTGGGTGGTGCGTCTGTCATGCTTGTAATCCCTCCTCTTAAGGGCGCTTAAGTTGATCTTGTGCACCTGCCTCCAATCCAGCCCCTCCTTAAAAGCCAGACGCTCACTCTATTCCAGGCTATGCATTGGAAGACGGACGCCCGGAGGCCCACCTACCACCAAGTCGCCCTACGGCGGCGGCTTGAGGGCACAGGCCTCCTATCGGCGTCCTGACCCAGCTGAATCCGGGGCTCGGAGCGCCTGGCCTCGTCATCCCGTTTTAATTCCCCATCCCTGCAACGGATCCCGTTCCGGTTTTTAACCCTTGTCTTGTCTTGTCTTTCCTATATACAGGTCTCATGCCTCTGGGCTGCATGTGCCTCCACACTGCCTCCTGCATCCCAGCTGTAGTGCCAATGGGCTCGGTGGGACAAATAAGCTCCTCCCTCAGCAAGACTCAGTGTGCCTATCTCAGCCTACTCAGCGACTGCCCAAAGCCACCTGTACTTTAGAACTGAGCAGAAGGTATTGTCTGAGCCACCTGTGAGTGAGCTTCCTCCTCAGCTGGCCATTTAAGGTACTTTTTTAGTACTTTTTAGAATTGTATAATGTTAGGGCAGCCAGTTGACCTTGGACCCCTAGGGGTTTCTTTTCTCCTTACAGAGGGGTTTTTGGTTTCTCTCCTCCGTGGTCTCCTGGCATTTTCCTCTTTCTGGATTGTACCGTCATGTACTGTCACACAGCTTTTGTTAAGTGCCTTGTTAAGGGCAACCTTGTTGTGAGAGGCGCTATACAAAAGATAAATTGAAGTGCATTGGGTTGAAGGTGACTGGCGGGGGAGGGGAGGGACTCACGGGCGTGGGGTTCTGGGTGACCATGCCGCTCAGCGTGGACAGCGGAGCCTGCAGCAGGAAGCGGTCCATCAGCCTCAGGACGTCGGCGGTGATCCAGAAGCGGTACGTGTTTGCCTGCCCTTCGGACGACAATGAGAGGACACTCTTCGGTGGCTGAGCTGATCGGCTAATCCTTCCAGGCCCCCTTGCTAACTCTCTCTCTCCCTCTTCCGGTGGGCAGCAGTGACCCATCTTTCACAGGGTACTACCAGCCTGCTCGCAGGTTTTTTAAAAAAGCTCGCTCGCTCTGCCTTTTCTGTTTCTGCTGTTCTGTAAAAGTGTCTCGTCCAGCTCCGAACAACGGGTACCGGTGCCGAGTGGAAGTCTGCACGAACCTCTCGCTGCAGGTAAGCTTTTACTGCCTATGAAAGAGAGAATCGTGCCCTAAAGTAGACTTGGCTGTTGCACTCAGCTTCCAGCCGGACTTGGATTTACTGTGCAAAGGCAGAGTTTTATTGTGTTATGAATAATTTGGAATGGTCAGTTACATCACCAGGACACAGCTCTCTGGCATCACGCCATGCCCAGGCGGTCGACAAACGCCAACAGACGGAAACCGCTGGAGATCATTTGTGGGTTTTTTAACACCGGACATACAAACTTTGTTTCTTACCGGTGACCTTGGGATCAGCTGTCGTGTTGATGTAAAGTCTCACTATCCACTCATACACGGCCTTTTTGACCGTGGAGGTGAGGTTGTCATATGTGTTGTTCAGCATTTTCACCCTGGAAGGAGAGGGAGCATTAAGATCTGGTTAAACTCGCCTCGATTCAGCGTGCTCCTCTTTTTTCTCTTGCTTACAGCCAAACGGATACCAGTTGTAAGTTTTTGGGGGGAGCACGTAAAGTTCCTGGCCATCTTTGTGTAGGCAGAGGCTATAGCTGATATAGCCGATGCGTGTCACAAAGGTTTGATTTCACGTGACACTGTCACATCAGAAAGCCAGGTGCTCATGGGAAACCTCCAGACTGTGACATCAGAAAGCCAGGTGCTCGTGGGAAACCTCCAGACATGATGTTAAAAGAGAGTGGTAGCTGTGATCACAACATAGCGTTGCCTCGGTGTGCAATAGCTAAAGGTACTCACAGCATCCTGGCATGGCTGATGTTGACAGACTTGTTGAATGTCTGGATGCAGACGTCACTCAATATGGTCAGGTTTTTCTCAATTATTTTAAAGAATAAGAAAACGTCATCTTGACTTGATAGTTTGTTGTAGAGCTCGATCTCCCATCCTGTGCAGTTTCCCTGCGAAGAAAAGATAAAACTGTGCTTGAGTGTGCCTTAAGAAACAGGTGACCTACTTCAGGATCATGAAGAGAAATGTCTGGCCAAGCGCCACAGTGATTGAAACGTAACCACTTGCATAACATAAGATCCTATTGTATGACATGCAGTGAGGTGGTCTTGATACACTTGGCTTCACTCAGCTGTGAATCTCTTTATGAAAAAGAGTGATTCCTTGTATCCGTCTTAGATCTGCTTTCATTAACTCTCACTAGGCCTTCCTGTGAGAAGTAATTTGGAAAACAAGCACTAGAATCGGTTTGTTCCTTTCTGGGGTCAAATAACAAAGCTGACAAGAAAAATGTACAGAGACTGTCACGCCCAGACTGCAAGAGGCCCTTGATGCACGATCTGAAAACCCGAATGAACACAGTCCTGAAAATTGAACCTAAAGGGCTGTTTTATGCTCAGCAGTGTAAGAAAGACTCAGGTTATTTAGGACGTAGGATAGAAGGAATTCTTTACACAAAGAGTGGTGAGTGACTGAAGCAGATACCTTGGGACCTTTCAGAAAACAGCCCTCACACCAGTTAGCCACTACTTGCTCCATACTCCCACAACCCTTTGTGTAAGGAGGTGTCAGCTGTTCTCACTTTCAAATGTAGTTCCATGTAGACCTGTCATTTGTGTTTCACTGTTTGTTGTGAAGATGTCTGCTGGGTTAGCTTTGTTCGTGTCATGAGGATCTGATACTCGTATAAAGTCCTCTAACAGCCTTCTCTGTTCGTTAAAGATCAAAAAGGGCATCTGTAAAGCAAAGCTCTGCTCTTACTATGTCATAGAGATGGATTGCATTTCAGTAAAATAACTGCCTTTGCCCATGTACAATTTACCATATGTTACTTATTTAAATGTGGTCCCTATCCCTGCTTGAGTGACAATGAGCCCTGCTGCCTGCTTAAATCTGTGCTTCTATGTTTCTGTACGTCTTGTGGCATAAGCACCACACAGTGCTTGATAGAAAACCTGAGGTTCACATTTTTTGCATGTAAAACATATGCAAACAGCATGACATAACATTCCAATTCTAACACATTTCCAACAAAATTGCTCTCTGAATCACTACAAACAATAGCCATTGGAGTGTAACATCTGGCCCAGTTATGTGGGCTGGTCAGGTCTGGTGGTTGAGAGATCCAGACCCGCTTGTTGTCATCTGGGAAAAGAGCTGTCTACACAAGTGTCGCTGCTTCTGGTCCAGTATTTGGTCCACAATGACCAGACATGGATGAAAGAAAGGCCGTCTTGACTCTGTGGAGATTATTGACCTGAAGGTGATGGACAAAGGTTTTTTTCTTACCTCTTTCTGGTTCTCTGCGTCTGCTCCTGAAAATCCGAAAGAACGAGAATTAGTAAAGGCCCTGGATTGCACAGCTGGGTGTCTGGAGCTGGATAAACTCTTTCAGTGTTCCTGAGCACTCGACCCCGGGCAGTGCAGTGTCAGGGTAACAGCTCTCACCCTGCGGTTTGACCGGTATACAGTATTCAGGGTCGGCCTGCGATCAGAGGAGCCCCGAGACTTATTGCCGGTTCTGAAGAGATTCATACACAGGTGCGCCCCTTCTCTCTTAAAGAATGAGCTTTTTCTGGCAGCACTCCAGATTTTACATACATTCATACGTCATTACATTGTCTATATGGTCAATCTCTGTTTAAGTTAGATTGCTTTGTGCTTACCTGAGACTGAGCCTAGAAGACACACGACAAGGAGAATCCCAGATGAGTAGAGCCGGTTCATAACTGGAGCTCAGGCCTGGAATAATTAGAACAGAGGATACTGAAAACACTGGTGTGACCCAGGTGCTTCTCATCTGCCTCAAGTCCATTCTGCTGAATCAGTCTGCTTCTTGCTTGCTTTCCTTGTCTTTGCGGTAAGATCACCCCACAGTGGACTGACAAAGAGTTTCTTGAAGAGTCGGCAGCAGCTTGGGGAGAGTCCGTGTAAATTAGGGAAAAGGAAATGAACGGAAGCTGGATTCCAAAGTGAAAAAAATCTAGGAATCACTTGCTGCAATGTATTCACCAGTGTCTTAAATGGAACAAATCAGATGTGAGATAATGCTAATGTTAGTTTAGAAAATGTTTAGGGCTCGGTTTGCACATTCGTGTCATTCAGGCTTGAGGCCATGTTAAATCCGTGCTTTGTGTGAGGTGCTGGGGGTTATGGGGCCGTCTGGTCACCTGCTAGAAAGAGAGAGTTGAGACAAGATAGCAGAGTGTTAAGTATACTTCCCCGAAGGGTAAAGTAGCCCCACACACCTTCGCTCTGTCCATCTCAGGAACAGGGCAGGACTGCCCCAACATGAGTCTCACTACACCAGTTCAGTCAGGGCACGGTGAAGCTCGGACTAAATCGAACGAGTCTTGGAAAGAGACAGCTTGAGCCTAGTTGGGCTCTTCTGAGGTTTCTTCAGCGACTAATGTCAGGGACCCGCTGCAGCTCTCAGATCCGAAAACAAGTTGAACCGAAGTTCACTCGGAGTTTACTTTGCAAGCTGCCAAAAGCAAGCTCATGAAAAGCTGGCCTTGGTGCTTTCCATTTCAAATGGCCACTTCAATGGAACGGGTTTTGCATACAGGGAAAGTCAGCTACATAAAGTACTCTGATGAGTTTGCATGGGCTTTGACAATGAGGAACCTTATGCCTTTCCGCCATGACTTGTGTCTGGTTCAGGTGCAGCCAAAGGTGGCTGTTGCAACAAGCTGTTCTGGTTTTCACCTGGGGTCAGATCTTGGTTATATAATGGAACTTGTGAACTTTGCATGAATACAAAGTCACCCGTCTCCTCCATGCCTTAATCACTGATGAAAAGACACCTATAAAATCTGCAGGAATGTGATTTGAAGCCCCCCAGCACTGATGTGGATAATTAAGGAAGACCTGGAAGAAAACCAAGCAATTGAATAAGCAAATCTACAAACGCCAGGTGGCCATTCAGCCCATCTTTTCCAATAACTGATTTCGTGCCGTATTTTATCCAGTCATTTCTTGAAATGTGCTTTGTTCCGAACTCCTGTGTTTGAGGACGGAAAAGCAGAAGTTTCCCAAACTTTTTTTGCTAAAGAAGACCGCCTAAGGCCAGTCTGAGGTGAGCCTTTCGCGACGTTCCTGGCTAGAGCTGCTGTCAATCAAGGGAAAGGCAACAGAATAATCTGTGGTATTGTGGGATGCCCACTTTTCCTCAGCACTCCAGTCCCAAAGTACTAAGAGTGCATTAGTTTAGCTCTAAACTTAGTTTTTAATAGGTGGTTGCAACACAAGACGAAACCCCACGCACACACGGGGGAGAACATGCACTCTCCACACACAAGGTAAGCCATGCTGGAATTGCACCACAAATCCAACAGCTGTCAGGTCTAAAACGCTCACGTAGGCTCTTTGCTACAGGAGCTTCACAAAGCCGAGCACTATTGTTGGACTCAATGGCCGCCAGTTTTCCTTTTCTTATTCTGAACCCTTTAGTAACACTCCTTGCGATGATGATAAAAATATGGGTATGGGAAGCTGATTGTTATCTTGAATGCATGACTTATAAAAACACAAGCATAAACGTAAACAACTGTGTTTATATATAGACGCTGTATGATTTATATCTAAATCTTTAGTACAATACTTCACAGACTTTGCACATTACTAAGATCACTTTATTGGCCCTATACAATTTCTTGCATTAGGAATTTGTCTTTTCACAGACCCCAGCTTGCTCTCCATGAGACACACTGACAGGGAGAAAAGCCTGGGGGCAGAGCGCAGGGTCAGCCATTCATACGGCACCCCTGGAGCAGCTGGGGTTCAGGGCCTCACTCAGGGGCCCAACGGAGTAGGATTCCTCTGCTGGCCATGGGATTTGAACCGGCAACTTCCAGCCACAGGCACAGATCCTTAGCCACAGTGACACTACTCCGCCCCACATTATTCCTGTATTACTACCACATTATGAATAATTACACATTATTACATTCTTACCAGAATACTTACAGAATACAGAATACTGCCTAAAGACATGGAGCTGGGTGGATTCTTACCTGTCTTTGTGAGCTTTCTAGGAACAGCAGAGAAAGGTCTCAATTTATCACCTGCGCACTGCCTCTCAATTTAAAGCCAAAAGAGGGAGGAGGAAGGCTAGGGGAGGCGTGCTGTGGGAGCGTCTTCCTCCACATGCCCATTATAGACACTAGGGCTCCTGTTACAGATGAGAATGTAGCTCATGTCGATAAGCAAGAAGGGCTGCAATATCACATACAATCAAAGCCCAGCCATCCTCACTATGTTGGATTGCCACTGACATACAGTAAGCAGCTACTGCCATTTATTAATCACATTTATCACCCTGCAATACACTCAGTTCCGAAACCATTCTTAAGCCTGTCAGGTGCTGACCCGCATAATTACGAGTCATTTACTACCGAGATAATCTGTGATGACAGGAACAGCCTGCAGTAATTCACCAACTACACACAGAATCCTCAGTTTCCGTAGCTCATGAAAAAGGTATTTTTTGCATATAAATATAAACTGCTGCACATCATTCTTTAAAAGCTTAGAACAGATATATTTGCTCTCTTGCCACAGTGCACTGATGAGCAATTGTCTGGTTCGACATTTTTTGGAAACGTAGAACACATCCCTCTAGATGGATTTAGCTGTTTTAGTTCTGCAATATTCATTTTTAATAAAGCTCAAGAAATACTGATCAAACCCAGCTTGTTCATAAGCAAGGCGGAGGCTGGCGGCTGAAGGCAATACTGGGAGGTTGGGACAGATGATATACTGTACAAGTGACACAGGATCCAACAGCCAGTACTCAGGTATCCACTGTGGCCAGGTGAATTTGTGTTTTCAGTGAACATCTGGAAAACCGGTGAGATGAAAAATACTCCTCACCAGGATTTAGTCTGGATTGCTTTTTGCTTTTTGGACTGGCAGTCGACACTTGGTATGGGCAGCAAATTTTGAGTGCTTCTGCTACTACAAAGAAACATTATGCTCCGTCAGCTCAGAAGGGAGATCTGCTGTGTGGGCACAGAGGTGCCTTCAGCCAAGAGAGGCCAGGGTTAGGGGACTGATGGGACACTTATCCAAATATTCTGCGATACAGAAACACCTGGGGTAACTGAACTACAGTGAAGGTTAAGACGTAAACCAAAAATATTCTAAACATATTTCACTTTAGGCTGTAATGTTAATCTCCTGTCTCACGGATTTCCACTGAATTTTTTACGTTTAACTTGTTACAGGTGTGTTTGTACACAATTCAAAAAGATTTTGTGTGAACCGACTGTAAGAAAACACAATAACACACAGTATATCTTTGTTTGTAGGTCAGAAAAGCTTAGAAAAACTCAAAATTAAATGATAAAGCAGATGAGCATGGCTCACATCCATTGTAGGGAACACAGTTTATTTAAGAAACTTCCTAGAGCATTCCACTGCATATACAGTACATGGGGGCTCAGATGCTTTTAAGTGTGATTTGAAACTGTTTGCCTTCCTGACCAGTGACTTTTTTAATTTTAAACTAATCTGATTACCTTATCCTTAAGGACTTATATGGACGTATTAGGTTTCCCTAATAGAAGTGTTAGTGCTGTTAATAAGAGCAAGTCCTCGGTTGTCATTCCAATTCTGTTATTGAATCTTTTTTGAAAATGTCACACTGGCATTAAAAGCAGCAGAGATCTTGTTGCCCTTCACAGTTCTCTGTGAAGTCTTTTTCATATGCAAATATGCATGTGGTACATCGCATTTGTTTTCATGAAAGCTAATACTTGGTTACTCTTCCCTTAAGAACAAGGGAAAAAAAGTAGTATGGTATTTATCATGGTGCTCCAGTACACCACTGTTTAGTATTACAGTGAACATTATGTGAACAGTGAACCACTTATGGCATTTTGTGGTGTTCATATGGACTAGTTTAGTAAAGCACAACAAAACCACTTAAATGCTTAAAACCACCATGCAAAATGCACTGTCAGCTTTCATAAGGATCATGAACTGTATTATTTAGAGGTAATTAAATTAAGTCTAAATCCAGAATGTTGGTAGGTCTCTTTGCTTTGAAAAGTTATTTTATCATTAAACAAATGACTTTTTTCTAATGTCATACTTCCTAAAGGTTTTGAAGGGTCCAAATGGTAATAGTACCCATTCAAAACTGAACAAGATTCAAAAGAAAGGCAAAAACCATTCTGAAATGCGTTAACAGAAAGCTCCACACAGCTGAAATGACGGGTTGATATTTGTAATTAACTCATAAATACCGCCGTCAAGGTTGAACCAAATACGAAAGCGGTCCATGCTGCCTAAGCTCCACATGAACATCTGGGGGGCTTCCCTAGCAGTGTCCGGAGGGCCTAGCCCTGCAGCTGGTTTGAAATGGCCGCGAGGGAGTGTCTCAGGCGCTCCTTCCTCTGCCTCAGGTGGGACTCCAGTGCTCCGGCTTCCTTCAGGATGTCTTCCAGCTCCACGACCAGGGTCTCGTCCACCGCCGCCTTCTTGCTGCGAGGCGACAAAGGTGGGGTCGGCGTGAGTTGCCTAGCAGAGGCCGGGGCGAAACTGTCCCCCCCAACCAGGGGAGTGCCCATACATCCAGACGGGGTCTTAAAGGTCACCCTCGTGTGTGCACTTTGTCTTTTCGTCGCTCTTTAGTTTAGTTCGGGGGCTCGGCTGCAGTGAGTCAGGAAGCCCCAGTGGTGGTCCACCGGACGGTGTTTTTCCTCTTCACTGCAGATGATCTCTGAGCTGCTAGACTGATCAAAGCTGTGGGTTTCACGTGTCAAAGCGCAACTGTAAAAACTGGTGAAGTCGAGGGAGACAAAGAAAACCCCTTGGACTGTGGCTGCCAGGAACCAGGTCTGTCCAACCCATTGGTACAGTCGAGGGAAGTGTGACTTTATGGCAGCACGCTGGGAACAAATCCCAGGGCAATTCAGAGTGGTTAGACAGAATTCTGTGTTTGTTCTGGGTGAATTGTTTCTCCTTAAGTCACTTAGAGCTCATTTAGTGCAGCATAATGACACAACAGCTTTTGAAAACCCTGTCAATCCTGACAACAAGGACAAACCCTCAGCAAGCAATTTAGTACAGAGAAAGAACTTCTGTGATTGCTGAGGGAACCGGCCAGCCCCCCCTCCAGACTGATCTCAGTAATGAGTGTCTTCAGCGGATGGGTTTGCCAAAGCAGTTAGTCAGCGTGACTAATGCTAATCCCACAAAACCAAACCCAGCCTGCCACAAACCGGAGAAGGGAATACTAGGGCAAATTGCAGCAGGTCTTAAAAAGATATTTCTGCTAATACACACAATCTCAAGTGCTTTTAGAGTAATACCCTTCAATACCTTTGAGTATGCAAAATCTTTGCGAGGGTTTTCAAAAGAGTTTTGTATGTTTCTGCGCGCTGGCATTCTTGTTTGGACTCATCGGGCTGCAAGAAGTTTAACTAAGAAAATTCAAATTTATTCCATTGAATCCATGTGTGATCCAATGGAAATAAAAGAAAAAAGCCCTCAAAGCCCTGTTTTTGAATATTCTGAATGTATCTGCCGGCCGTCAGCTTGCCACCCACCTACCTCATAACCTGGGCGAACATGGAAAATAACAGGTTGATTTCCTCATTTGCACCTGTAATAGAAAACATTGGATTTTAAGTAGTTAAAATTAAAATACCTTCTAATAATTGTTTAATCAAGTAAGGTATTTAATTGGAAATAATCTTTTACAACGTTAAAATTTGTTTTTTTTAAATAGACTGTAGTTTTTTTATTTACTTGCTTCAACAACATTTACTGTCTGCTTCTATAGATTATGACCTGATGTGTTACCGCAGAAAAGATCATACGCTGATCTTCAAAGCTAGCTCCCAATTGCTGTTAAAACCACAACACATTTACCTGTAAAATGTGTAAAAGGTCCTTTTTTAAAAGGAAACAAATGTCATTCTTGACGCAACTAATTGAACAGTTTGTTCCAAAACCACTGGATGTTTGTAAAACAATACAAAATTATTGGGTTGTGTTAATAAATGATTTCCTTAGGAGTCTTAGGAGATTACATTTTACTAACTTAATTATGGAGTTAACAATGAGTCTGGATGTTTTTTTTTGTAATAGGTGAATTCTGTCTGTAGAAACCAAGAGATTCGAGTCTGAGGTGTCCAGTTTGTCAAGCCAAGCTTTATTGTATGCATACAAGGAACAATACAATGAGGATTATTGTTGTAGTTCAAAGGGGATATATCCCCCCTCGGACTCAAGGACTCAGAGAGCAATAAAAACATTCCTTCCTTATCAGGGAGTCTGGTACAGAAGATATAAGTTTAGTACACAGAGAGAGAGAAGCATCTGTGCTACAGCATGCGTGAAGGTTAGAGTTTAGCATGTGGATTCAGCAGGAGTTATAATAATAATTATAATTGCTTAGACTTATATAGCGTTTTTTCTGGAAACTCCACTCAAAGCACTTTACAGGTAATGGGGACTCCCCTCCACCACCACCAATGTGCAGCCCCACCTGGATGATGCGACGGCAGCCATAGTGCGCCAGAACGCTCCCCACACATCAGCTATCAGTGGGCAGGAGAGCAGAGTAATGAAGCCAATTCATAGAGTTCACAGCTCCTACCACTATATGGGTACAGAGTAACATACAGATTCTGCCAGCAGACTCCATCATGTCTTATCATGCCTGCATTATCCTGTAAATGGTTACCCAGAATTACCTGTAAGCAAAGCCTGACAGGACTGCGACATGTTTGCAGCTGATGAACGGTCTGAAGCCACCTTTTTCTTTTTGGAAGGCGTATTGTCACAGGCAGCTGCCACTTGTTCCACCTATTTGAATAGAAAAAGGCTGTTTGCATTGCAAACTTCACGTGCCCGCGATCACTGTCCGCAGATAACACCGACAGCGGCTGAATGTCCACTTCTCACTTAAAGACTTTCTTATATTTTTATCAGAATATAAGATAAGAGATACTCCACAGTGGGAAAAGAGTATGCAATCATTTGCCATGTTTATAATCCAGGGCAAATAAACATTTGCCATGTTTATAATCCATAGGCCATATTTGATAACAGTCAAACACTTTCTTTTAGCTTGCTGACTGACCTCTTTCGCAGACTTCAACTTAGGCTCTTTGCTGTCCATCTCCTTTCCTGCTATAGCTAACTGTCTATAACCTATGAGTGAAGAAAACCAACAGCATCACATTGTGTTTTTTTTTTGTCATTGAATGAAACATGGGTGGTACAGTGATTAGCATTACTGCCTTGCAGTGCTGGGGCCCTGGGTTCAATTCTGGGGCACTGGTGAACAAGTTTAAAAGATCGGTATTGAATGACTATTGAAACAGGATGCAGAATGCAGCTCTTGTGAATTTACCTTAATGTTAATGTTTCTTTATTAGCCCTATACAATTTCTTGCATTAGGAATTCGTCTTTTCGCCTACCCCAGCTTTTCTCCATGGAGACACAGACAGGGAGAGAAGCTGGGGGTCAGAGCGCAGGGTCTGCCATTGTACGGCGCCCCTGGAGCAGTTGGGGTTCAGGGCCTTGCTCAGGGGCCCAATGGAGTAGGATTCCTCTGCCCGCCGCAGGATTTGAATCGACAACCTTCCAGTCACAGGCGCAGATCCTGAGCCACAGAGCCACCTCTCCGCCCCAACAGGGGTACCTATAGTGAGCTGAGAAGAGGCACAGGCTGTTGAAAGAGGGTTCACTTTGACTTCAGTGAAACTTGAGCTTCATGGGTCTGAACACTGTTTTTTTTTAATTCTCTACTTATCTACTAATTTCCATCAAAAGCTTTATTTTTGTAGGGTGATGGAAGCTGGAGTGCGGCATCTAAGAGACACCAGCTAACCCGCACGACTGGTTTTGGGATTATGGGAGGAGGAAACTGCAGCACCTGCAGAGAACGTGGAGCAACTAACACGCAAACTCCACAGAGACGGTGTCCAGTCTGGATCGAACCCAGGGCCCTGCAGCAGTGAAGTAAGGCCACTGGGCCTCCCTTGAATCCAACAATAACTCGAAAAAGTTGGAAGTGGAAGTGAAAGGGTGAACAGTTCAATCGGTTCACACTGGCTCAGACGCACCAGTTCACACCATTAGTTTACCGGTTGAAGTGAACTGGGAAGCAGTTTAAACCAGATGCTAGTTTCAATTTGCTGAGTGTCGGCTAATTTTGTGGCTCTGAGTAATTTGGGAGGTGCGTTTTGGGGGAGAACAAATTGTCAATTTTCTGGAGGCGGGCCGGTATCCCTTTACCTCGGAAGATTCAGACCGGAATCAACTCCGCAGAAATCGTAACAGGTAACAGGAGCACTTTGAATGCCTCGACAGCCCGAGGTAAGTAAATGAAGAATTAATTTTAAACTTAATTGAAATACGAGGTTCTTAACATATTTTACGCTTTTCCGGGACAATATAAAATAAACCGCTCACTTACTCCGGCCCTTCGGTAAACCGCGCGAGCTGCCCTCGAGCCTACCCGCGTCAAACTCAAAAAAACATTTTTTATTTTAAATTGTATTGGGTTTCTGCCTATTTTCTTCAGAATTAACAACAACAACAACAATAATAATAATAATAATAATAATAATAATAATAAGATGTAAGACCGGTGAAAAGGGCAGGATCCGGAGCATGCGCAGTTCCTTGACGAGGCCAAGGTGCATAATCAGGCGCGAACGCTTCTAAGTGCCAATTTACGTAAAAGCTCGTTTGAATATCCCAAATAAAAGACCCCCGTGGTTAAGTTAACATATACCAGGTAACGTTACGGCGCTATGACGTTTTTCTTAGCATGGTCGTTGGGTTGATGTCATCTAGGTCAGTGAAAAAACAAAAGTTCCTCGGCTCTGCCCAGCCAACCCCAGTCGATCGGAGTCAGCTGAGCTGGAGCAGATTGCTTTAAGTTGACCTGCGAGACCACGGCTAATTCTGTCCCAAACTTGTGTTTTGCAGTGTTCAGCGTTCTAACATTTGACATGGAATACCTTTTCCTCAGGTAACAAACGCGGTTTGGTTCAAGGAGATGAGATGTGCAGCATGTCTTTGCAACTTCAACGACGCCCTAACTTTCTTGCAGGTTTGCTTTCCTAGCGAGCTGTTTGACCCTCCATGCGGGTACGACTCTTCGCCTTGCAGGTGGGATATCCTCTTTAAAAACCTTTTAGGCACAGTTAAAATACAGTATCTCAGGTAATCTTGTTTGATTCATAGCAACATCCGTTTCCTGTGGTGTGGTGTGGTGTTGTTTTGTTTTTTACAGTCACCATAATTTGTGCCCCCATTGTGAACAGGAATTGTTCACGGTTAAGCGGAAGTGCGTTTTCCTCAGCATGACCACGATATGGTTTGTCTAGTCTTTTGCTGTGTCTTTTTCGAGTCCGAAGTTCTCGACGAGGGAGAGCATTTTGTTTCCGCGGTTAAAACACACGTCTAGTTTCCAGCCCTGTTTGAAACCTCCAAATTTTCCATTTCGTGTGGACCATTTCAGTAGCAATACCTGTTTCCTGTTCATTATAAACGAGCTTCACCTTTGGTTAAGAGTCTCCTAACATGCCTGCTCCCCCCCCTACAAAGGTTCAAAAGTTTCTATGTAAACTTTGTCCTGGGCTGTATTGTCTACTAGCTGACTGCTGTGATGACGCTGTAATGTTTGTGCTGCTTTTTGTAGACCGTATCCAAGGGCAGTGCTTGACTGACACGCTTAAAATCAAAATTGCCCCCGAGTTTCTTGAGGCTCACAACATCACGCTGTCAGCCAAAGGTGGGTATCCCAGGGAAGACTTGCGCGGTGTGGGAAATGGCCCTGCTCCTGGTAGCTTTTTCTATGAAGCTGTGGGCTCATTTTGTCAGACACCACCACCTGGTGGGTATCTCACGCTTGTCACCTTGTTTTGAGTGGATCTGCCCAAGGGGAAGAGCCAGCTTTCACTGCAGTACGATTCGTCTGTGTGCCCTCAGCTTCGTATTGCTAAAACGGTTGCGTTGCGTTTTTCCTGCTCTGTCAAGTATAATAATAATAATTAAGCCGACCGTGGCCAGAATTCAAAAGGATTGTGTGTTTTGGCTGAAAAGCCCTTTCCATGCCTGTCGTGTGTCTTTGCTGGTTTAAGAGTGTCTAGTTTTGGGTGTAAAGAATATAATGTTGCTCTTGTCTATTCAGAAACGTGTTCTTTTTTAATTTATGGTGTGTTCTAGTGTGTGTGTGTGTCTTCTTCTTGCAGACAAAAACGGTGTTGCCCATTCGCTGGGCTCTTCTCTGGACGCCAAATGTGGTTACAAGCAGCGGAGGAACTCCAGAGGAGGCCTGGAAGTGTCTGCGTCGCTCATGGCCTGTCACGTGTATTTGAAGGTAGGCCGGATGGGGTTCAGAAGGGCTCCAGCAACTGGCAGGAGTGGAAGTGGCACAGCAGCTGTATCGCCCTGCAGCTCCCAGCTGGCAGCCCCCACTGGAGCTCAGCAGGTGTGAGCCTGGTCAGTACCTGGATGGGGAGACTCCTGGGAAAGCTGAGGCTGCTGCAGGAAGAGGTGTTAGTGGGACCAGTAGGGGGCGCTCACCCTGCAGTCTGTGTGGGTCCTCAAGCCCTAAGAGTCAGGCCCTGTAAAGAGCTTTGAGTGGAGTGTCCAGAAAAGAGCTCTGTAAGCGTACGGATGATTATTAAACCAATTCGCAAAACCTGAAGTTTGTGCCGCACCTTCCTGGGGGCCCGGCCGGTGCGGTCATGGCCGTGTCTGTGCTGTGTCTCCTGCAGCAGCAGCGGCAGCAGCAGGAGGCCCGCCTGGTGTTCACGGTGGGGGTGAGCTACGCGCCCCGCGACGGCTCCGGCCCCGGCGCCACCGAGTCCTTCTCCTTCTCCTGCCCCCGCAGGCCCGGCCGCGCCCGCAGGAGGGTGCTGTGCGAGGAGGACTATATCGAGGTAACCCCCCCTCTTTTCTCTCGCGCCCCCTGTTCCTTCTCGGGCGGCTCTGCCTGTACGCGCTGTGATAAGTCTGCCGCCATGAGATACTTATTTCATCAGCTCTGGACTCCTGCAGCGTTCTCCTTCCTGGGGTGTCGGCTGATTGTCTAAATCTGCTTCGGGGTGTCCACGAGTCCGCGGCCTGTAGCCATCTCTAGGAGTAACCGTTCTGTGTTTCACTAATTTAACGTTTGAGTTTCTTGAAAGGCGCTTTGAAATTGTATTTTTCTGTGCCGTGTAAAGAGGTTTACTTAATGCCCGTTTGTGTGGTCTACTGGAAAAGACATTTCTAACTTGTTAAAATTTTGGTGATTATGCTTTTAACAGTAACTCATAATAAGTAGTCGGTTTACAGCACACCCATCATTCAAAATAAAATCGAATCATCGTCCGCTAATACAAAAGGAAATAAATGACATTAATCGTGTTATGGCATATAGGGACAAAATTGCATGGCCCTCCAGTCCTAAAATAATCCTAGAAAGAAGAAAAATGTAATAACTGAATTAGTAGATTTTCAATAAAATGTTTCCAACTTAAAGTATGACTTATTAAATGTAAACCTTATTTCCTTGCTGCCAGCATAGCGATAAACCACTGGAGACTTGACAGGAGTTAAGGGTACCAGAAGATGGCAGTATAGGCGAATGAACATGCGGTGTAAAATGTTTTTTCGGTTGGTTGTGACTAATACTGTGTATTTTTTTTACTGGACAGGTGTCCCTCAACATCGATGTTCCCTTTCACCATTCAATGGTAAGGCACAGGAGCATTTTACACAAATCCCCCACCTTTGAAATTGTATTCTTCACAAGACAGGGTGAAGAAACACGGTCTTAAAGAGTTTGTGGGAGATATTAACAGCAGTGCTAGCTTCTAGGTTTCTGTGGCCCTTCGGTGACTCTAGGGACCCAGCCATGGCAGTAAAAAAGGTGGTCTAATGTTATGATGCGGCTCATCCTGTTACTTTAACCTCCTGTAGGTGGGAGTCCATGCTGGTGATGGCAGGTTTGTAACGAGGTGGCGCAGTGTGGCTGCACTGCAGGGCCTGTTCAAGACTGGTGTTCTGCCAGCACCAATTAGTGATGCTTTTCAGCACGGGTTCAGGATGTAACCCATGTCTCTGAATCTGCAGATGGCAGAACTGGCAGATTTTAAGAAGAATCTGTGTGTTCGCTGCATTGCCCTGATCCAGTGTTGAAATTCTCTGTTTGTCTTGGGCGTTCTGTATTCACCGTTCCCTGTGAAGACTCCAGGCCAGCTCTTGGTGCAGTTCGTAGAGAAGGTTGTTCAGTTCAGTGGCACCCTTCGCTCAGGTGGACCCCTGCGGCTCAGAGCCTGAGATGAAGGCGGCCTGCCCACCAGGAGTGGGTCCTCATTGTGTTGTCTGTGTCTGGGGGTGGGGGCAGGACAAGCAGGCCCGGAGCCAGGAGAGCCCCTGGTACTTCACGGTGCAGTACCCGGATGGCAGCATCGTGACCCGGGACCAGGCCTGGATCTGGAATCAGGGCATCGGGCTGAACGTTGAGCACTTCGACGGCTGGATCGCCTTCCGCGTCCCTCAGAGCAGCCCCCTGATCATCCGAGAGGTGAGGGGGCGGGCGGGCGGGCGTTTCTCTCAAACTCCACAAACGTGCCCCTTGTACTTGTAACGGGCACTGTCAGGTCTCGGGGAAAGATCACCATGCAGACTCTTTACAGTGCACCTAACTGATCTCTTTTTAAATCTAAAAGTGACGATTGTTTTTCTGGTGTACTCTTACTTGGTATGCAACAGTATGTAAAACTAGAAAGGAGGCCGTGGGGAGTCCCAGCTAATGCAGGAATGCAGCTGTGTGTCCAGGGTGCTCCTGGAAGTCGGTGTTGACCATTGAAAGCCTGGTTGTGGACTCTTCTCCACCATTGTGTTCACTTCAGCTCCTGCGGACGCAATCAAACTGATTTCAATGGGCTTCTGTAAAACCTACACAGCGCCCCCCCCTCCCCAGCCTTAATAAAACCCAGCCTGCACCTTGCTGTCTTAATTGTGCATTCTCTCATGCTTCTCAGCACCATCACTCAGTGCATTAGAAACTGTACAGATTCCGTACTTAAAAGCGGCTTCGCTGGTTTGACTGTGCATTTTAAAAATGCACCTCTGCCAGCTCTTTTATATTTTAATTTTTCACGCAGCTCTTTCTTCTGAAGTGGAGGTCTCGGACTGTCTCCTCTTAGGAGTTCCAAGGCCCTCTGGGTTTTAGCCAGGATCTGTTTGTTACTTTAATTGATCTTGTTCAGAAGGGTTTAAGAAAGGCCTTTGACCCGGTAGCTCCAGTGCATTTGGATTGGGACTGGCGCGGGGGGGGGCTCCCTCCAGAGCAGGCATGAGGTGTATCGTCCGAGGTTCGGTGGGGTCAGCCCAAATGCGTCTGTGTTGCAGGATCACCAGGGCTACCAATCCTTGGGGTTCAAGGTGGTGGCCAAGCACGAGGAGCTGCTCATCGGACTGCGCTACGACCTGAGCGCCGTGTGTCCCGTCGGTAGGTCGAGCACGACGTCTCGTTTGTAATCATCAGTCACTGAGTCATTGAATACTGGAGTACTGCGGTAAGGCGTTAATGTTTTTTTACATCAAAGCATTAAAAAAAACATATTACAAAACAGCGTGTAAAAGCTCCAAAAGACAAAACTTGTCTCGTCAGGAAATCCTGTGATTAATAATGGTTAGTTCAATTCAGAGCTTCTCTTCTGTTTTAGAAGAGACAGTCAAGCTAAAACATTAATCAACAGGCAGTTCTGAAGAGGATTTGTTTGCAGAGCAGAATGGGCAATTTTTTTTTATTATTGTCTGGTCCAGATCTGTTCTGTTCAGCCACGTATCGCTCTGATGAGCAAGGAAAGGAGGTTCAAGGCAGAGTCCTGCACAGAAAGGGGAGAGGAGAGCCGGCTGGGGTCGGTGATTAACAGTCGGTTTCCCAGATCGGTGAATTCGGACCGCGAATGGGCCGGGGAGTGGGGGTGCGAGTCCGGTGCGGGTTGGGACTGGGATTGAGGACGGGAAGTCCCAGCCTGAAAGTCCGCCGTGTCTTCTTGCAGTCCAGGTGCGCTGCGAGGGCAGCAACGTGTCCGTGTCCGCCGCCAACCTGCGGCTGCCCGCCCGAGGGGCGCCGACTGAGGACCTGGGCCTCCTGCTGCAGCTGGACGGGGTGTCCCTCTCCCCACAGGACGCGGCGTCTCGGGGGTACGCCCTCCAGCTGGGGGACTCGGAGATCCGGGCCTCCTTCGCTGTGCGGGACAACCCCCTCGTGCCAGGGGTGAGTGCAAGGAGGAAGAGACAGCCGTCCGCTCGACAGAAGGCCCGTGGGCTGCCTGGCACACTCTCGTATGCTGGGCTTTAAAGGGGAACCGCAGTCCTGGTTTTCCCAGACTGGTTACTAAATCTTGGCAGCAAAATAAATCCATTTATCCTGAACCTCTTTTTGTTCGGGGGGGTAAAAAAAAGCTGTTGTTGCTGTTGCCGGTTTCAGGGCCCCAGCGTGATGAACAGACACCAGCTGTCCCTGGTCCACATGTGGAGAGATGGAGCTGACCAGCGCAACAACAAAGTGGTCATCCACGTCCCCGGGCACACGTGTCCCAGTCCCCCCGCCCAGCCGGCGTTCTCGGGTAGGTACGATGGCAGGACGGGTAGACCAGCACGTTCAGTGTGTGCTCCATCCCGCCTCGGATCTGCTGCTCCGAGCATTTTTGTGAATCCCCTTCAGACGGGACAGATCTACCTTGTTCATTTCTGGACGCAAGAAGAGTACTGCCTTTATTCTTTGGGGCACAGTGCGTCATCTGTTGGCTTTAGAAGCAGCTAGCTTCGGAGCTTTAAGGCTGAAAATGGGCAAATGCTTGCTTTTCACAGCTGTAACTGTTAGTACAAGGCTTTGGGGAAAACATGCCCAGGGTTAGCAGCTTGTTCTTGCAACGTGCAGCCTTTCCTGTCTGAGTCTCGACCGCCTTTTATTTTTAAGAGCTTCAGACAGGATAAGTGGAGCACAAGAAGAATTGCTTTAATCATCTCTCGCCTCCCGAGAGCTGCGGAAATTGGTTTTGTGTGCACAGGGAAGGAAATGTTGGGATTATCGTAGGAGTCGAGTTTCTTAATCGGCGCAGGGAATAGAAATGGTACTGAAGCAGATTATATCCTGCTGTCCACATCTTGACCCTCAAAAAGATGCGTGCTCTTTTTCTGATAGTTTGTGTTGAAGGGATTGTATTGGGATCAGGGCATCGCGAGATGCTGACTTATTTCCCTCACCACCGTTTATTGGCTTCAGGAGCTTCTTTGACTGTAACGGGGTTAGTCTGGCAAGGGACCAACCTCAACCTTGAAAAAAAATAAAATAAAAGAGGAAAATAACAGCTAAAGATATTAACCGCATGTTGTCTTCCAAGGTTGAACAGCATAGGTCCTTTTTCCCCAAAACAAGTTTATCAGGAGTACCATCTCCTCTTCCTCCTCTGTGTTGACGGCTTTCTGCAGTGACGATTAGGACGGAGGGCTTCAACATCACCTACGGCCCGGTCCCCGGAGACTACGTTCTGACCAGCATCTCTCTCGACGGTGTCCTGTTCCAGTCCGTCCAGGACCTACCCAGGGGTGTGGGCGTCCGGCTTGTCAGAAGAGACCGCCTGCTCTTCGTCTTTGTCACCGCTCGCTTCGGAAGCCGCTTGCTTCCTCGTAAAGTGAGTGCGGTTCGGTCTCCTTTTGGACATTTTCCAAAGGAAACGTGGATAGAAATGAGTTGCGTTCCAGAATGCCCAGGTACCTTGTAGTGTAGGTTGTGCTATTTCATTTGGTTTCCCGGTCAAATATTTTCAGAATCGCCTAAATGTCTCCTCGTCGGCCTCAAAAACGTATGAATGCCATTCCTTCGTTCACTTTAATGACTCAATTATTTTCATGTACTGTGCAACGTCTCCATAAAATGCCGTGTTCTGTTCAGTTTTGAAAATGCAGAAGGTCCAGAGCAACACTGCTCGATGAAGGGCCACCTGTTGAATAAGCAACTTTGGAAGATTCTCTGTGTGCTTCCGTATTTGGAGAAGTTTGCTCTGGATGAGCCAGCAGAGTGTTTTTCTCCCTTGCAGTATGCCGGAGGCTTCACTTCCCTGTATTCTACGAGTCCAGCACTCCTGTTCAAGTCCCCCGATCTCCGAGAGGTGATCGCGGAGGAGAAGGAGACCTACACTCACCTTCGTGAGGACATCGGTGAGCCCAGCTTCCAGATTCCCTCATCTAGCGCCAATCTTATTTCACCTGAGCTCTGGAACAGCACGGCAATGTGAAGAACCCTGTTAATAATAGTTCCTTACATAGCTCTTTTCTGGACACTCCACTCAAAGCTCTTTACAGGTTGTGGGGATCCCCTCCACCCCCACCAGTGTGCTGCCCCACCTGGATGATGCTCCAGTCCTCTCCCCACACACCAGCTCTCAGTGGGGAGGAGAGCAGAGTGATGAAGCCAGTTCAGAGATGGGGATTATTAGGAGGCCATGACGGGTAAAGGCCAGGGGGATATTTGGCCAGGACACTGGGGTAGCACCCCTACTTTTTTGGAGAAACACCCTGGGATTTTTAATGACCACTGAGAGTTAAGACCTCGGTTTTACATCCCATCCGAAGGATGGCGCTTTTTTTAGTGTAGTGTTCCCATCACTATACTGTGGCATCAGGACCCACACAAACTGCAGGGTGAGCGCCCCCTACTGGCCCCACTAACACCTCTTCCAGCAGCAGCCTTAGCTTTCCCAGGAGTCTCCCAACCAGGTACTGGCCAAGCTCACACTGCTGAGCTGCAGGGTGATGTAGCCGCTCACCATAGATAATCATTTTTAGAAGAATGAGGAGGAAGCGTTGACTGAGGCAAGTCGAGATGGGTTACGTTCATTGGGATGAAAGCTAGGAGGTTGTTGCTTATGCGCCCGTGAGCGTGAGGTGCCGGGGAGCCTAGCTGGTGAATACTCCTGTGCCTCTTGCTGGGCCTGAGCAGAAACAGGGGTGGTGGGGCGCATGTTGGACTGTCTGGGGCTGAGGAGGAGTGGTTGCTGAGCCCGCTGTGGTTTCGCAGTGCTTCCCGTGTTGGAGGGCTTCTGCAGGAACAGCAGTGTGTGCTTCAACGTGACCCGAGGGAACGCCGACCTCTTCTGGAGCTTTTACATCTGGGACACCCCCTTCCAGGCGAAGCGGGCGGCCGAGCGCGGGCAGTCCTACGCCAGCTACAGGGCGCACCTGACCTTCTGCGTCGACGTCCGCTCTCCCGACCTGCTGCACCAGGTAACCAGGGCGGCGGCGGGCCGGGGGCTGCTGGGAAGGGAGCCGTTGGCGCGGCGGGCTGGCCGGCCGGCCCTCACCTGCGCTCTCTCGTGCCTCCAGGGCGTGAGCCAGGATCGCCGCCTGCTGCTGCTGGCCGTCTCGTTTCGGGACCGGGCGAAGGGAGGCGTGATGGCGACGGCGCGGCAGGCCTGCCCATTCCGCCCTGCCGGGGAGCTGGGTAGGGCAGCTGGGCTCCGGTGCAGTCGGAAGCTTCTCCTCCAGGCAGCTCTTCGATTTTAGCATGCAACCTGCTGTCCCTGACCTAGCTGTGGCTTCTTGTACCTCGAGGTGTTGTGTGTGTGTGTGTGTGTGTTGGGGGGGAACAACTCATTGTTGGGGCAAAGCAAACAAGGTGGCAAGACTGCGTTTTCTGTTCATTTCTGGCTTGCACTCTCCCTCTGTCCCCTCTTGAGTCTCCTGTATCTCCCTCTGCTGTTTTTACCACCCACTCTCCTCTCCTGTCCCGCTGTTGGTCCTCATTTTCCCCGTCTGCTGTCTGGCTCTGGACTCCCTGCAGAGTGCACCGCGGACGGGCTGTTAAAGGCTACGGGCCTGCGGCTGGCGGCGTCCCCCCTGGCCAGCCTGGACCGGCTGACCCTGCGCGACCCCAGCTGCAGCCCCTCCGAGATCTCCGATGGGAAGGTGTCTTTCAGCTTCCCGGTCTACGCCTGCGGTACCCTCCGGAAGGTGGGCGGCACGGGCCGCGCTCGGAGTCTCTTCGCGCCGCTTGGTCTTGGTTTTGCATTGCGCTCTTTGTGCCCCAGGTCCACGGGACTCATGTGGAGTACGAGAACAGGATCTCCAACGAAAACGCTCTGCCGAAAGATGCGCCCGAATACCTCAAGTTTCAGTGAGTACCCGGCGGCAGTTTTCTCCTTGGCACCGAGCCTGAAGCTGAGAGCTTGTCTGTCCTGTTTTAATCCTGAAAATAAACCCCCCCACATGCCAGCATTCTTGCAACGAAGCCCGAGTTGAAATCGGACCTCCACTGATCTGCATCTTCACTGAGGGAAGAGGCTAAACGGTGCTGCTGAGAACAGTGCTGGAGACTGCAGGCCTTACAGATTGTTGCTGCCCGGACGAGCTCCAAGCTCGGCGTGATCAGTAGTAATTGGAATGAAAAACTATTTCACAGAAGCTTGATCCCTTTCAGGTTTTACTGCAAGACATTTCTTTCTAGTACAAAGCACTTTCAGCTACCTAACATTCTAGTCTGTGTATCATTTTGGGGTAAATGTCAAGACACAGGTGTGGAGTTGAAATAATGTTGCCTTCCTGTGACAGCGGTCCTGTTCACACCCGAGTGGGTTGTCTCATAAAAACCTGGAATGAGTCAAACTTCTGTGTAAGATTGATGGTCCTTAGCTGGACCTGGTCCTAGGGATAACAGATCGGTATGAGAAGGAGGATTTTGTTTCAGGAGGCTCGTCAGTATCGGTATGTGGTGTCTAGTTGGTCTGAAGATTGTCCCGTTGTCTTGATTTGGAGCTGCAGTCTGCTGTGCTTCCTGTGCAGATCCACGCTGGTGTGCCGCTACAGCGAGGAGAACACCCTGCCTGTGGGTCC